CGCTCCCCTTCTTCTTGCGCAGGGTCTCGATCCAGCCGGCGCTGGGGCGGGCGGCGAAGCTGGAGAGCGCCAGGGAGCTGAGCCGCATGTTCTTGCCCGACATGATGAGCTCCCCGAAACCCTCCTGGTGGGAGAAGGCGTAGCCGGAGCGGCGCGAGCCCACGCGCCCCACACGCCGCATGCACCGGTGCTGGGTCTTCTGCTTCTTCCGTACCAGCTGAGTGTAGCGGACCTGGGGACGCCGCCGGGGGACGGGGGACAGGGTCAGGGTGCTGCAGAACTGCCTACCCCCAGGGGAGGGGACCCCGTCTCCGCTCCCCGCAGCCACGCGCTCTCACCGTGTCCGAGAGTTCGGGTTTTAGGTCCAGCTTGAGGAAGCGAAAGGCCACGACGGGCATGATGCAGACCACGGTGGTGAGGGCGATGGTCAGCCAGACCGTGGGCTGGGCCAGCGTGTTCTGCGCGTTACCTGGATGGGGGGGGGGAAAGGGCAAATCCAGGCAGGGCTCAGCACCCTGTTGGGGTGGGGGGCATTGCTCAGCCCCCCTGGGACTCACCCACAAAGCGGAACTGGTTGGGGAACATCTGGAAGAGGCCATCGCTGTGCATGGCGAAGAGGATGGCGAAGTAGGCGGCCAAGCTGCCCCAGATGAAGAAGTGGTTGATGGCCGTCCAGAAGCCCGTGTCCAGCCCGATCTGGCGGAGAGGGGAAGGAGGAAGCAGAGCTCAGGGGACAACCGCGGCGCTCCGAGCACGGCTGCAGAGCAGGATGGGACCCAAACCTTCACCCGCCCTTTGTGCTACAGCCTGGGGCCGAGCAGCCGCGTCCCTACCTGCACGCTGACGACAATCACAAGGGAGGTGGCGACGGTGACAGCAAAGGACTGGTAGTCAGCCAGCTGGGCGCCATCGTCACGGGTGGCGTCAGCGAAGACGCCGTAGGGGATGAAGAACATGAGGACGGAGGTGTAGATGCCCTGGGCGATGCAGATGAAGAACTCCCGCTTGTTGAAGAGCAGGTTCAGCTGCCCAGGCTCATAGAGCTTGGGGTACTCCATGCTCCGCTGCTCCGGCACGTCCTGGGGGCACGGGGCACTCTGGGCACCTCCCTCCAGCCCCAGGGAGGCACAGCCTCTTCCCCGGGGACAAGGACAGCCTCCACCGCTGCCCGCGGAGGGACAAGGACAGCGCTTCCTCCCGCGGGGTGGGCCACGCAGGGGAGCCGGGCCAGCTCCTCGCGCACCCAGGGACTCCCCTCATCGTACCTGGTCGAAGACGCCCATGGCGAGCACGGGCAGCGAGGTGTAGACGATGTTGTAGAGCGTGATGAAGTACTGGTCGTACACAGTCTGGGTGGAACGGAGTGCTCAGAGGGACGCAAGACTTGCCCGCCCCGTGCCCCAGCCAGCCCCCGCACCCGCAGGGACCCAAGAGCCACCGCCAGCCCCCCGTGGGTGCCCACCCTGAGCGGCACAGGGTGCTGCTGCCCCGGACCCAAAGGCTCCTCGCACCCACCACACGCTGCCGTGCTCCAGCAGGCTGTGTGCCTGGTGGTGCAGGATGAGGCCCCACAGGGAGCCCAGGCCACGCTTCTGAGCGGAGGGGATCCCGCAGGCAAACCCTCCCCAACTCCGAGCGCCAGGAGCCAGCAACGCACCTGCGCCGAGAAGCCGCAGAAGAAGCCAAACCAGAAGTGGACCATAGTGAAGGCGAAGTTCTTGTAGAAGAAGTAGCAGAGGAACTTGCACATGCGTAGGTAGGACCAGCGCCCGTGCACCAGGAGCAGGCGCTGCAGGAACTTGAACTGTGAGAAGGAGTAGTCGGAGGCCAGCACCGCCTGGATGCCCTCCTGCCCGCTGATGCCCACCCCGATGTGGGCGGCTGCGGAGGGAAGAGACACGTGGAGCGAGGAGTGCTCTGCCAGGAGCACAGGGGACCGGGGGTGGCACCCCCCCAGCGGGACTGTGTTCCTGCGGGGCACAGAGGGGCGAGGACAGAGGCTGCCACGGGCCCCGGAACGGTGCAAGGGGGGACCTGTCCCTCCTGCGGCTCCCCAGACCCCAGGACTTACTCTTGATCATGCTGACATCGTTGGCCCCATCCCCGATGGCCAGGGTCACAGCTTTCTTGTACTTCTTCACCAGCTCCACCACCTGGGCTTTCTGCAAGGGCGTGACGCGGCAGCAGATGACGGCCTTGCAGGCACACGCCGTCTCCAGGAACTCCACCTCCATGTCAGCCTCCAGCGCGTGGGCCTGCGAGGAGAGCGGGGGGACAGTGGGGGGCACGGCCCACAGCCGGGCACGGTGCCCCAGCCAGCCCGGCGCTCCCAGGTCCCTACCAGGCTGTGCCCGTTGATGACCAGAGCGTATTCGCCCGCGATGGCTTCTAGCACAGAGGTGAGCTTGGAGGAGGAGAGTTTCTCCTGGTAGGAGAAGCCGTTGCCCATGGAGCGCGATGCATCCATCATCTTCTCCCGGGCTTTCCTGAGAAAGAAAGGGGTTGGGAGCCCTGATTCAGGGCACTTCTGTATCCCCCAGCTCCCCCACAGGCAGCCGTGCCCCACGCCGGCCCCACGTGCGTCGTCTGCCCAGCCCTACCCCCCGACCCTCACCTGAGCTCCTCTCGCACCTCCAGCACGGTGTGGCCCGTGACCACAAACACCTCCGTCATGTCGTCCGTCAGCATCTTGCAGGAGTAGCCGATGTTCACAGCCGTTTCTGGGGACAGAAAACCAGGGGCCAAGGCAGGGTCAGCTCAGGGGGGAGCGTCTGCCCCGCCGCCCCCCAGGAAGGTGGGATCCAGCCCTCGTCTCCAGCCAGCCCAGACCCCCACCCCAGCAATGCCTCACCCTGTTTGTCCCCCGTCAGCACCCAGATCTTGATGTTGGCCAGCGTCAGGATGGCGATGGTTTCGGGGACCCCCTGCTGCAGTTTGTCCTCAATGGCCGTGGCTCCCAGCAGCTGGGGGGACCCAAACCGGCAGGAGGTCAGCAGGGGCTGCCCCCCAGCCACCTCCCGCCCCCCAGGGCCCCCAGCCCACGTACCATCATATCGTACTCCACCTCGTCGTAGAGGTGAGCCAGGCGATCCTCACGGGCCTCGGGGGCACTGCCGGCTCGGTGCAGCCGCTCGGACCAATCCTCGTAGTAGCTCTCCTCCAGGTCTTTGTAGGCCAGCACCAGTGTCCGCAGCCCCTCACCAGCATATTCCTGCAAGCGGCCGGAGCTGGGTGCACAGGCAGACCCCGACGGTGTCCCCAAGACCCTGATCGCCCCCCAGGACAGGGCACAAGCCAGGCTCCGCGCTTCTGGGCAGCCCCTCTTCCCTTCCCAGCCCTGCCCGCAGGACCCGGCCCCACTCACGTTGAGGTGGTCGGTGGTGACATTGGTCAGGTCCTGGTTGATGGGGTGCAGGCGCTCCAGCAGGATGGTGTCAGCACCTTTGCAGTACAGCCGGATCTTGCCCTCGGGGCTGCGGACTGCGGGGAGCAGGGGACAAGCTGCAAGGCTCAGGGGTGCAGGAGCAGGTCCCACTCCAACCCCCAGCCACGACCCCACGATGCCTCTCCACAGTCACGTCACCATCCGTGTGGGGCTGGTCCCCAGCACACCGCACCGAGCCCCCGCGCCCCAGCCCCACCGCGGCCCCCACAGCCCCTGTGCTGTGCCCAGGACCTCACCGATGACGGACATGCGCTTGCGGATGTTGTTGAAGTCCAGGATGGCCAGCAGCTGATAGGTGATGGCTCGACCCAGCTCGTGCACCGTGATGGTCTTGGGCGTGCGGGACCGGAACACAAAGCCGAAATTTCTGGCAGCCGTGACCAGCGCTCCCTCGTCCGGGGACTGAGCCTTGTAATACAGCTCCCCTGGGGACGGCACGGGGGGTCAGAGCCAGCGCTGCGCCCCAAGGTGCGCAGGGACAGGTCCTGCCCTCTGCACCCACCTTCGCTCTTCTCCTCGGACATGACGGTGTGGCAGAGCGAGAGCAGGCGGAAGAACTCGTGCACGTGGGGGTCTCCCAGCTTGACAGCTTCCAGCAGGCTGGGGTCCCAGAACTGGAACCGTGGATCCGCCAGCGGGTTGAAGGAGAAGTCGACTGGCTCTGGCTTCTGGCAAGGGCAGAGATGGGGTTACCCCCCTGCAGCAAGTGGCACAGCCAGGCACTGGCCCTGTGGCACCCTTACCTCTCCCAGCTCCGCCTTGTGACCCAGCACATCTTGCACGTCGCCTGTGAACCGGGGCACGGATTTAACCAGGACAGGGACCCAACGCTGCTGTCCCACCAGCACCCACGCCCGGGGGGGCCACGGGGCAGTGGCAGCCCCCCAACGCTACGGGTGAGCCCCCTCGTCCCCCGGCTGCCCCGAGTGCCCCAAAGCGTCTGCAGGAGGGGAGCTGCTGCACCCACACCCCGCAGGCAGACCCAGCCCGGCCCCGGTGCCCTGCGCTCACCATAGCTGTGCCCGTTCACGGAACACTTGCTGAAGACCATGATGTTCTGGGTGAGGGTGCCGGTCTTGTCGGAGAAGATGTACTCCACTTGCCCCAGCTCCTCATTGAGGGTGGTGGTCCGGGCCTCGGCTGGCGTCCGGCGCTTGGCACAGTACATCTTCTTGTCCCAGTTGATGAAGTAGCTGTGTCCGAGACGGATCACCTCCACGCTGCAGGGCGGGGACAGCCGGGTGTCACCGGGGCAGGGCAGCACGCTCTGCTGAGCCAGCGACGGGCACACACACGCCCACCCTAGACCCCCAGGCACCTGGGGCACCCTGGCACCCAGGGCCCCCACGCTGCTTGCCGGCTCCCGCGCCCTTCCCCGGGGGTGGCCCGCACCCGCTCCTACTGACAGCCACCGCCAAGCCAGGGCTGGGGACGCGGGGCCTGGCACCGAGGGGGCAGCCCGTGGGGCTCCCCGGGCATCTCGCACACCTACGCGCCCCGAACCCCCTCCCCGGCCCCCAGGGCAGACAGCAATGAGCTAGTGGGAGGGGTGGGGGCGACACGTTCTTACCTCGGGGCTAAGGGTGACAGAACCCATGCTGGGGAACGAAAAGAGAGAGAAATTAAAAGAGAGAGAGAAGGGGACAGTGCAGGAGCCTGGGAGCTGCAGGAGGGCAGAGCAAAATAACCAGCATGCAGCCAGGGCAGGGAGACGAGCAGCCAGACAGACACAGCCGGGGGGGCCCCGAGGGACCTGTGGGGTCTCAGGTCTTGGGGTATCCCCGAGGGCAGACGTGGCCCATCACCAGGAGAGCAGCTCGCGCCCACCCCACGCACACAGCTCTGCCCGTGGATCTCCATCCCCATCTCCCCTCCCCAGAGAGCACCCCTAATTCCTGGTGCCTGCCCTTCGCGCACCCCCAGCCCAGCCCCTCGGCCCCTGCCCTACCTCACGTAGAGCGAGATGGGCACCACAGTGTTGAGGATGATGATGTAGGACCAGAAGGAGAGGAAGCCGGAGAAGAAGGCACTGTGCACCCCCTCGTCCCAGGGCAGGTAGATCTGGAAGCAGACGCCCACCTCGTGCTCCCAGATGGCGTTGCCGATGGCCAGGATCACCCCCATGCACACCAGGAACCCGAAGATCTGGGGACAGGACGGGACATCAGAGCCCCAAGCGTGCCAGAGCCGGGGCTCCCTGCGATCTGCCTTCCACATACCCAGAGAACCAGCGTGTTCATCAGCCGATCGATGCTCGTCCGCTTGAACTTGGTCCGGCCGCTGTTCTGCATGAGTTTCGTGTCGGGCCCTGGGGAGAGGGAAGGGCGTCAGCGGGGTCTCTCCCTTCTGCGCAGCGCAGCGGCGGCAGCTGTCCCAGCCCACCTGCAAAGATGACGAGGCCGAAGCACCACTCGGTGTTGCGCAGGACACAGCCCCGCAGCAGCATGTTCTGGTTGCTCAGGGGGTACTTGTTCTCCTTCCAGTACAGCATCCCGCCAAACTTGTCCAGCTTGTTGTTGGGGGGCTCACAGATCACCTCGCCTGGGCGCAGGGGATGGCTCGGCTGTAACGTGCCTTCTCCACATGGCCAGCTCCATCCCAGTGCTCCCAGCACCGTCCCCAGCTCCCCAGAGATCCGCTTCAAGCCACAACACCGTGTGGATGGTCCTGGTCTCTCCAGGGTGGACCCACGCCAGGTGATGGAGGAGGAAACCCAGGGACTGCCCCATTGCGGAGGACCGGTCGCAGGCACTCACCATCAAACCGGGCCAGCTTGCTGGTGTCACCCAGCTCCGAGGTGACGGGGATGGCCTGCCGCACCTTCATGTTGGTCTCTCTGCGGGCAAGGAGGCACCACGGGCGGGGTTAGCGACAGCCTGGCAGGGAGGGCCTTCGCAGATGCTCCGTGGCTTCAGGTCCCCAGCAGCTCCTGCCCTGCCCGCAGCCCCTTCTCACTCCTACCTCTCGCCTTCCCTTGCCACCCGAGGCGAGCGGGGGTTACCTACCCGTCCAGCTCCGCCGTCTCGATGTAGCACAACCCATGGGGTTCACTGCTGGAGAGGAGGAGGAGGTCAGCCTGCCGGGAGAGACACACGAAGGCTTGCGCTGACATTGGGGCTCCCCTCTGCCTTCCCCAGGGAAGCTTCTCGGATGCCAGGGGCCAGCGGGGTCTCTGGAGCCGCGCGTCCTTAGCCGGGCGCTGCTGGCACCCCGGCCTGGACACCATCGCCTGAAGCGCTCGCATCAGCCAAATCCCCAGAGCTCAAACACGGCTCAAACACTACAACCCAAATACAACTTCCAAGCTGGAAAGTTCCCGATGTCTCCACCCCAGGAGGCGATGGAGGAGCACAAAAGCAGAGCGGGCGCAGCACCAGGCCGTGCTGCTGTCTGCGCACTGCCCAGCCGGGGCCATGCTTATCTCGGGGCCACGCTCACCGCCACAAACTGGTTGTTCTCCAACTTGATGATGTCTCCGACACGGACGTTCATCCACTGCTCCTGCCGGAGGCTGCAGAGGGACAGCGGAGTGGAGTTAGGCCCAAGCCAGCAGCATGGCTTCTCCCCTACCCCACTGCGCTCTGCCCCTGCCTGCGGCCCTGTGCCGCGTTCCGCAGGGCCCCGTGCCCCAGACACTCACACTCCGCCGATCAGCACCTGAGACTGCCGGTTGTTCACCTGGTTGTCACTTTTATGGCGGAACTGGGCGCGGAGGGGAAGAGACAGCAGCGTCAGCCCCTCTGGGGACGGGGTCCTGCATCCCTCCCCCTGCAAATGCCGTGGCCCCGGGCACCGCGCGCCCGCACCAGGGTCGCAGCCCCCTGCCCAGCCCCAAGTCCCTGTGCCCAGCCGGCAGCGGGCAGCCAGCCCGGGTAGAGGGGTGCGTGGGGGACCACTCACATAATCGTCGGTGGCATCTTTGACAGCTGTGATGGTTAACACAAGAACCAAAGGCACGATGGTGGTGAACCAGGAGAGCGAAGAGATCTGCGGGATCAGCTGGGGACGGGGAGCGGGAGTCACAGGGGACTGGGCCAGCCCCAGGCCCACGCTAGCCCTGCTCGAGGGTGCCAAACCCGCCGCTTCCCAGGGGCAGGCCGTGCCCTGGGCCCTCCCGGGGACGGACAGCGTCGGGGGGCCCTGTCTGCCTCCCCGGGGCCCCCAGCACTCACCTGCAGGATGAGGAGGAAGAGGAAATAGGTGTTGGCCACTTCTTGGAACTGCTCGAAGAGGTTGACAGGCAGGAAGGTGATGATGTTGTACTTGGAGGTCTTGATGCAGTTGCTCTGCGGACAGACGGGACAAGAAGGGGGTTCATGAGTTGCCGAGACACCCCGAGACCCCCAGCATCGCTCTGGGGGCAGGGCTGCAGCTCACCGCGCCCCTGATTTGGGAGCTCTGGGCAGCAGCCCGGCCCCCTGGCTCCTGCCCCTGCTTTAACTCTGTGGCAGCTTCCTCGAGAAGCCGGGGCCCAGCCCCCTCCGGCGGCAGCATCCGCAGCATCCGGGCGGCAGCACCTGGCCCCCCCGCAAGGGTCACCCCAACCCAGACCCTCTGCTCCCCGCTCCGCAGCGAGGCGGAGGCCGAGCCTGGCCTGGAGCAGCCAGAAATAACCTCCAGCGTGGAGGGGGAGGCCAAGGTGAGCGGTGCCCCTCCCCCAGCGGCTCCGGAAGCTCGTTAATTAGCCGGACACAGAACCGCATCGGGGGACGGGCAGGGGTACAGGCAGAGCTGGGGGGTTTCGGGCCCCGGCAGAGGATGGGGGGCTGCGTCCCCTGCCACGGGAGCGCGCTGTGTCCCCCTCCAGCCCTGCCACCCCAGCCCCAGAACTCTGTTGGCGTTACCGGCTCGTCAGCACAATTTTCTCAGGGACAAACATCTATTTTTAGCTGCAACCCCCCCCCCCTTTGCTGACCCAGAGGGGTGACGCAGGCCCCAGCCCCCCCAAACCTGCCCAAACCGCAGGACGAGGCCCCCGAGGGACGGGGCTCGGCCACCCCACTCACCGCGTACTGGAACTTCTCGTTGTACTCCCGTGCGTTGGCTCGCACCCGCCTTTCCTCCTCTGCAACACGGCGTGCCCCGTCAGCCCCGCGCCCCAGACCTCCCCTCTGCACCCCACCGCTGGCCAGCCCTGCTCCCCTGCGCCCCGAAAGTGCCCCAGGCAAGCCCAGGAGCCCCAGACCCCCAGGGGAACAGGGAAGCCCCCCAGCTGTGTCGCGTGGCCCTGTGTTACCCCCCATGCGAGGACCCACACCCCTGCACCCTCAGCCCTCTTCCTGCAACCCCCAGACCCCCAGTCCTGCACCCCCAGACCCCCCAGAACTGTACCCCCAGGCCCCCAGCCCTGGATATCTGCACCCCCAGACCCCCAGCCCAGAACCCCCAGATCCTGCACTCCCAGCCCTGCTTAGCTGCACCCCTGGACCTGCAGGCCCCCAACCCGGCACCCCCAGACCCCTTCTTCTGCACACACAGACCCTCCAGCCCTGCTTATCTGCACCCCCAGACCCCCAGCCTTGCTTACCTGCACCCCCAGACCCTCAGCTTGGAATCCCCAGATCTTGCACCCCCAGTCTTGCTTACCTGCACCCCTAGCCCTGCTCAGCTGCACCCTCAGACCCCCAGCCCTGCACCCCCAGACCCACAGCCCTGGATATCTGCACCCCCAGTCCCCCACCCCCGCACCCCCCCCCCCCCCCACCCCCCCCCC